AGAGAGAGAGAGAGAGAGAGAGAGAGATTATCTCTAGAAGTTGGAAAGAAAATTGGAAAGCCAGGGGACATAAATGGCCAAAACAAAAGAATTCAGTCTAGGTGCATTAAATGGAGTGACCTGTGGATTAGTTTTGTGCTTATAAAAATGAAAGACCAAAAACATAATCTTTATATTGCTATAGTCATCAATCCTTTTCTTTTTGACCCTTTTCATATTTCTACACAAAATAGCCTACAAATGTCTAACCCCAAAGATTTCAAGTTCATCTTGAAAGCCATGATAAACAAGCAAAAGACTAAGGTTCTTTATGTGGAGGCCGATAGCGATTTCGTAGATGTTTTGTTGAGCTTCCTGACTTTGCCATTGGGAACTATCGTCCGAGTCTTGAACAAACACTATGGTGATGAGGCCCCTGTTGTAGGAAGCTTAACCACTTTGTACAACGGCTTACGCAATTTGGACAATGGGCTTTTCTTGTCAGAGGACTGTAAGAACCTGCTGCTCAACCCGATAAGATCGTCTGAGGTCGAATGTCGTCGGCTGAAAATCAACGTTGACGACACGCCGCCCACAAGGTACTTCAAATGTGGAGACACAAATTGTGTATTTAGTAAATCTTCGAATGTAAGCACGCACTTTAGCGGATTGAAATGCGATTGTGGGAAACCGTTGGACAAAAAAATTTACGTGAGAGGTTATGGTGATGTTTGCGGCGGGGTGTTTATTGCAAGTAAAGCATCCTTAATCATAACTGATGATCTTCAAGTATTGCCTAGTGTGACGAGTACTTTTGTGCAAATTCTCCGCAACTTAGGCATTACAGATACAGTCGGGATCGAGGAAAGGAGTCTCACTTTCGGATTCAATGAGGTGAGTGACTAGTTTCCATCTTTAGATAGTAGAACCAAATTTAGGAGTCTTCTAATGTTTGAGCATGCTTTATTTTTTGTAGATAATGGATTTGCTGAAGGGGTCGTTAGTTTCTCCGGCACCACTCACAGAACTTATTCTCGATCCGAAACAGATGAACCATGTAGCGATGAAGTGCGAGATAGGTGTCCTACCAGTTGATCTGATCAAGAAACAGATGGAACCTTTCAGTGCTAAGAATATGACTGTGAAAGCCATTGTATCGGCTAATAAGCTACTGTTTGCTGAAGTCGATAGTGATTTTGTGGATTTCCTATTTAGCCTGCTGGCTCTCCCCTTAGGAGGGGTCGAGTGCTTATTGGGAAGTGACACTTGTCTTACAAATATAGACAATTTGTACAAAAGCGTATCAAATATGGGAATGAACAAGTATTTGAAGAACATAGACAAAACGAAAGCCCAGCTACTGCAGCCTAAGTTACCATTATGTTACTATTCAAGAACACACTTTTTGTCACTGAATGCAAATGATTTCAATTATATGTACTTTTCTTATGATAATGGAGGAAGTTTGCCATCGTCGGACTCATTTTCTGGTTACTGGGTGTCTTCTTATAAGTTTCCGGAAGGCAAGGTGAGCAACTTTAATCGCCAATGGGTGTCTACTTCTACATGTGCAGAAGGGCAAGCAAAATATGTAAAAGGACCAAATATGTATATGGTGACAGACAATTTAACTGTGACTCCCTTGTCTTCCACCTCAAGCTTTTCCGTCATCAATAGCCTCAAAATCCAATTATCCGAAGTCAAGGAACTCGAGCTGGTTGTTGGTTTGGAAGAGGTTAGTGTTTGTGTTTGGCAAGAGACACATTTGAGTATTTACTATGAATACTGATAATCAATTCGTTTTGCTTTCTGGTGCAGGCTCTGAGCATACTGAAAGCATCTCTGACTTCGTCTCGAGCCTTAACCGATGGCCTCATCACTCCTTTTTAATGAAACAACCGAAGCAAGAGAGATGAGGATACAATAGTTTTCATGACTAAGTCTTACTCTTCGTAATTGCATATTTTGGATTCATGTCACATTGTTCAAGAAACTTTTATCGTTAACTTATCAGCGAGTATATGAAATTACCTATTTTAGTTTTATCTAAATCTACTCCTACGACTGAATTGGCTTTCGACAGCTATTGATAATGCTAGTGGCTTGAATCAGAAATGACGAACACATAGAATAAAACGATGAATTTTGAAGCTGATTAAAAATATAGAATGCAGATTGTAAAAGTTTCTTCACTGCAGCCATTTAGAACAACCAGTGAAGATTTCAAAAGCATGTCAAAAAGTAGTTATAGATTACACTAATGGTGTAGGTGGCTGAATCAGTAATTATTTTACAACTGATTGAAAAGAGTCTCCAATTTAACTCTCAAATGGAGTTTACTTCAACTCAAAAACACAAACTACAAGAAAATTAATTTCATTGAAACTCGAAATAACCAATCACATTTCCATGGCAAATGAAAGGTCAGGGTAATACTTAATGACTCAGGAATCTTGTGAGACTGACTTTTGGACTACCTATTTTGCCATATAAATAGTCTTCATGCATAGAGATCTTCATGTTGAATCAAGATACAACAATGGCTGCCACTAAGGATGTCCAGTTTACTTTGAAAGTCATGATAAATAAAGATAAAACTAAGGTCCTCTTTGCAGAAGCCGACAGCGATTTTACCAACGTCTTGTTAAGCTTCCTGGCATTGCCATTGGGAAAGATCGCGAAAATCCTCGTGGAACACTATGGGGATGACACACTGGCAATCTGTAGCTTCACCTCTTTGTACAATAGCCTTGCTGATCTTGATGTTGTCCATTTTCATACAGAGTCAGGTAAACAAATGCTGCTAAACCCGAGAAGCGTGTTTGACAAAGAATGCCGTCAGCTGAAGCTGAATCTAAGTGATTCCGAGCTCACCAAGTACTTCACATGCGGAAAGTCGTCCAGTGGGGAGCACAACTTCAGCATGAACTATGATACTGTTATATGTGACTGTGGGAAAACTATGACCAGAGAAACAGAATTAAGATCATCTGAGACTATTGAAGATGGTGATGATCATGTTTTTTGCACGAAAGATGCTTCCTTTATAATTAGTGATGATATGCGTGTGGCGCCTTATGTGTGTTAGAATATCACTTGTGAGTTGTCCCACATTGTTAATACATGGAAAATAGACCCACTTAATAAGTTTAATGGGCTACTCCTCCTTTCACCAATTGGTTTTGGGATGGAACCCCACTTGGGCTTCATATGGGCTTTCCATGTTCCCCCAGTTTCTTTCATAAAGATGTCTCATAATGAGGTGAGTGGAGAATTCTTGTGGAACTTGATATTACGGACACCAAAGGGGCCGAGATGAGGAGCGTGACGTTCGGATATAATGAGGTGAGTCTTGATTCTATTGTAATGAACTTTCTTAAATTATGTGTGTGTTGATATGTTGTATTTGTTCTTTGAACTAGATTATAGATTTTCTGAAAGGCATGCTCGTATCAAAGACTCCTTTGACCGATATCATACTCGGAAGAACTCAAAATAACTCTGAAGAAGTTCAGAAGATCAAATCTTCTGGAGTTTTTTTACCAAAGACTGACGAAGCAGCTGCTTCTAACTCTGAGAAGATGATGACACTAAAAGTTGTAATACAAAGATCTACACGAGTGTTTCTTTTTGCGCAAGCCAACGGTGATTTTGCCGATTTTCTCTTTAGTTTGCTCACGATCCCACTCGGTGTAGCTTTGTCGCTTTTGGGGAGCAGCACCGGTATTACAAGTTTAGACAATTTCTACATGAGTTTAGAAAATATTGATTGTGACGAGTACTTGAAGACTAAAGATACAGAGACCGAATTACGGAATACCCAGCTGCCTATCGGATATATGTCCCCAAACCAACTTCTCCCTCTGACCGA